AAAAGCCCTATCCCCCCCCCCCCCCCCCATGCCCAAAGTAGACAAAATAAATAAGCAGAGACTTTTGAATTTAAAAAGTCAGTGGTATTCACATTTTCTCATAACAACATCAGAATCTCATTAGCAAAACAATTACTGAAAGAGTCCTTGGTCCACCACAGAAATTCAGGTGAGAGCCAGGGAGGAGCTCCACGTTCTTGGGCTTTCCAGGAGCCGGCTTTCCCCTCCCACAATGCAGTTATTGAGAACTGAACTTGTGGTCAGGATTGGTAGCAAGCACCATCCTGGGCCAAGTCCTCTCGCCTGCCCTAGAATCTCATGTCTTGGGCCATTTTACTTCATCCCCCCCCCCCCCCCCCCATTTTGCCAGGAACAGTATGGGCTATTAGGAACACTTTATTTGGAGTTGTTTAGAGAAGACCTTCATAAAATTAATAATTGTAGACCTCCTAATAATTAAGAGCATTTCAGCCTCACTTGATCAGAGTTCCACATACAGTTTCAAATTGATTTGTTTCTTTTGGTTTTTTTGAGTTAGTTTCAGGGGAGATTTTATTGGGGGAAAAGTCAGTTACCTATTCTTAAATTATATAACCTTGGCAATTATGCAAAAGATATTTTTTTACTTGTTGCAAGATGCTTTTCTGGGCTGGCTGCTGACCTAAGACATCGGAAGATCATGATAAGCTGCGTACCGTCCAGTCACGTGGTGGTATATCTAGGAGGAAGCCCAGTTTCATCCGTTAGTAATTACGCAGGCGTACACATAAGCTAGTAGCCATCCTGCTGCCCATAGTAATTCCACTTGGCGCTGCGTTCGCAACCCTTTCAGCACAACTGGCACCTGACCTCTAGCAGGTGCGGGTCTGCTTGAAGGAGGTGGAGCCCTGGTTCTGCGGGGTCAACCTCCCCTCCTTCCAAGGACAAGGTCTCTCCACTCACCTGCCTCTCGATGTCTGAGAGCAGAGAACTGGCCCCTATCCGGAAGAGGTCAGGTGTCAGCCACTCATCCCCCAGCTCCTCCTTTATAAGAGAGAGCCATGCAAGGGACTCCTTTGCGGTGCGGATGCCTCCTGCAGGTTTAAAGCCTACCTGAGGGGGAGGAGAGAAGAGGAGCCATCATTAGCAGGCTGATTTCAAAAGGGGCACCCTGAAGAAACAGGATTGAGTCACACTTTCCTTCTTAGTCTGTTTCACTTCGGCAAAGATACCTATATCAATAGAGCATTACCTGAAAATTCCGAGACCAATGGGGCCTGGGTTACTGCTTCTGAAGGGATAAGAACGAGGGGACATCTCACCTCATAAACTTCCACCATCTAGACTAAATGTGTACATCTGGAGAAGCCAAGGAAAGTGTCAATAAACAAGAAAATACACCACAGGTATTCATCCAGTATACACTGCTTCCAATGAGCCTGCATCTTGAGGTGCAAGTCACTTTGTATTTAAGGCCAGATCAGTGTGGCCACAAGATCAACCTAATCAAACTGGCAGCTGTCAAGCAAGAAGAGCTGACGGGTACTTTAATCGACCTAACTGCAGGCTTCTTTTCAGAGGCCATAGGTACAGGGTTCTACAAAGCAGGCAGACTGTTAACGTAAGCTTGGTAGAAGAACGCCATACTGTTTTTGCAAGTCTGTAGGGAGGGCCATAAAGCAGTCAGTCCCAGGAGGCTGAGAGGCCGAGAGCCACCTGGGACCCATGCTTTTCCAGAGGACTTGAGTTCACTGCTCGGCACTCACGTTGAGGGACTCTCACTCCAGGGGTTCCTGTGCCTTTTTCTGGCTTCCACAGGAACTCACACACATATGGTGCACACAAATACACAGACACGCACACATGCACGCAAGCATTCACAAATAAATCCTTAAAAAAAGACACAGTCCAAACAGCCAATAGATGCTGGTTGTTTCTACGTGATGTCTGATACCATCAGGAAAAGCCCAGGTTGCATGTGTAGAAAACCTCATGGCCTCTGGATTCACTTGTCTCAGGAATGTAACTATGCAGAGAGTAGATGAGTCTATACACACAAGCTGCCCAACCACACTATGTGCAGCCCAAGGGCTCAGAGCTCTTTCAGATAGATCACCCTGGCAGGACGCAGAAGGAGCCAATGAAAGAAAGGTCCCATTAGTCAGCGGGAAATCCCACTGTGAACACAGCCACTGCCATTGTGTTGGTACTTCGCAGCCACCCAGCCATTGCAGCATCACACTGGCGTGTTCCTGCCAAGCCTGCCTTCACATCCTAGGATATCCACATCCTACCTCTCTCTACCCTCAGTCCTTTCAGGGAAGAGTGTCATGAATGGTCTCCTAAGTGGGTTCCCTGCCTTCATCATACATGAGATAGCCAGCTCAGCAGGAGCATACTTGTAGCCACTGTTGCAGACTGGCAAACAGATAGACAAACGCAGTAGGTGAGCGACAGGAAGCACACACGGCCATGGGAGGGAGGAGTCTTCCTGCAAGTCAGGTGGGCAGTGTTCATAAAGATTTCCTAGACATAGAAGTCAGCGTCGGCAACTCCACCCCAAGAAGAAGTGCTTGTGCAAGTTAATACATTGCAAGCGAGAGAATATGGAAAACAAATCTGCAATGAAATCAGTTACGATATACAAAATCCCAGCTTCCTAGGGGTGGCACCAGGCATGGCCTGGAAGGTGGGCTTTTGCATCGTATAACATGGCTCACATCAATGAAGGAGGAACCACAGTCTATGGCCTCCTGGGCTTGCCATCACCAACTTAAAGGCCATGCCCGGCTTGCAGTTGCATACCCAACCATACACAACAGGATGTGTCTTGCACTCGGCCTTTGCTTAACGATAAGTAGGCCATTTGGCTACTAGGTGGGGAAAGAACAGAACCATTAAGGATGCAAAGACAAGCAAAATGCATCTCCAAACTCCAGCCCGGACCATTGAGCACTTGTGTTCTCTGAGATCTGTTTTTTGCTGTCTGAGAGCTGTCTTAGGAGGGGACATATTTGTGTTTACACCCTAACACAGGTTAGCACGGCCCTTAGTCACCCACTTGGGAACTGTTTCTTTGGTTCCCAAAAGCATGCATTACCCCTAAAGGTGGAGTTCATGGAACATGGATGCCAAGGGACTCTTCCAGACCCATGGCTGTCAAGCCTGGGAGCCCAGGATTCCACATGCATGGCCAGCTGAGTATCTAATTTTGATGTTCTCAGGCTAACCCTTATCAAAAACCTGTGACTCAGTAGAATCAGTTTGCTAAACGACTTCAGGGATGAGTGGCATGGGCCTAAAGGAGGTGACAGCCACACTGAAAGAAGATGAGCTGCTGCTTACACAGCTTTTCTTTGAGAACAAAACAATGTTCCTTAAATTGTTGGATTTGTATCAGTGCAGAGAGACCAACGGTAACAATGTGTTTTCCCTACCTGTGCTTAACAATGTGAGCTCATTCAGAGAAAACTCCGGGAGGTTATTTCCTCTCACAAGGGGCATAGCCCATGTAAGTCTCCAATTCCAAAATAAATCTAAGCCATAGTCACTCGTGAAGCCATAAAGACATCCCATCCCCTAGACAAAGCATTAAAGGTCTTCTTGAGGGAGGAGATGGCAGAAAGTAAGATACTGGTTTTTAAAAGATGCCCCTCAGGGAGGGAAGTCTTATTATATCAGCGCCTTCGAACATGTGCGCGCACACATACACACCACACACACACACACACACACCTACCTTTCCAGCTAGGCAAAAAAAAAAAAAAAAAAAAAAAAAAAAAAAAAAGCCCTTTTTAAAAAACCACAGAGAAAAAAAAAAAAAAAAAAAAAAAAAAAAAAAAAAAAAGTCCTTCTTAGATAATTTGTGACTAGACAAGCAACTTGAAATAGAAAATCCAAATCCAGTTTTTAAGAAACACTTCGTACGCATTTTCCCATTTAACTTTGTATGCTTCAAAAAATTCTGTGTTGCTCTTCGAAAAGCTGACAAAAGTTAGCATATACTCTCCTCAGCTCAACACTCTCCCAAACAGCACGGCCAACCACCATAAAACGTTAAAAAAAATGGATATTTAATTCAAGAGCTATAGGACGGAGAGCTACCATTTCCCTGCTGTTTCGTGGTATTTCATTATTCTGTTTAATAAGTTCATCTCCTCGAGAATTTTCTCTTCACCTCATATTATTAAAAGTAATAAGTTTTTCTGGACCGGGGGTTTCCCAACAGAAAAACCAATTTATGTGTGTCCTTCAATAATGACAGGGAAAGATTACTTCCCATTATACTGCCTACTTTTCATATCACCACCACAGCTTATCATTCAATAAATGTTACTCTGAGATTCTTTCCATTCCATGAGGAAGTTAAATTTCTACATTAACCTGTTTTCACCGGCCAACGCCTCGCAAGAAGAAGCTCTGTGTCGCAGTACAATTAGTTCCTTAAAGAACCCATTTAGGAATCTCTTGTCAGTGCTAAAATTGTCTTGGGTTAATAAAAGGACAGAGTGAGTTTACATCTTGATCACACAGGCACACACTCACACTCACTGTTAATCGCACACTTTCCCCCACCGAGGTATTCTTTTGTAATGAAAGGTAAATTAAACATTTATCTTAATAAAGGCGACTCATTCACACCTTCTGCACAGGGAGACGTTATCGTTATCCTGAGGACTGTGAGGAGGGTTATAAATAGCATTCTCTTCACTTTGAAGGGAGATTTGCTGGCAATACCGTACCTTGTTTCCAGTTTTCCAGAAGAAATCTCTAATGGCCCGTAGCATTACGATCGCTACTGGGAAGGTGGCATTTACCGTTTCTTTTCCAGTAGAAGTCTTAATAAAATCTGATCCTAAAACAAAAGCAAGAAAAACTCCCAGGTTAATTAAAAACTTACTTTTATACTTAAGTCATTGAAAGAAGTGAATTATGTGCAAACCTCTCCCAACCCCCATCTCCCTAAGGACAACTTTACTTTTTGGTTATTATGTGAAAAAACTAAAATGAAAATCTACCTTTAAAATATTTCTGTTTATATAAGAGCCAGAAGAAAGGGAGAAGGGCTGAAAATTGCCATCTTCTGGGCACAACACAGTCACTGCAATCACGTCCCACAGAAGCAGAGGCTGTCACTACCAGGCCTGTACAAGACTGAGCCCATCATTCATCAATCACGGATGGGGATGTACCCCTCCCTGTTGAACTTCTTGCTACTGGGGGGTTCTGGGGAAGGACAGTCATTGTTTTGGGTTGATTACCCATGGCTAAGCCTACCAGGCTCCAAGGGACAGTTCTAAACCCATAGTTGCTTGGCCCTGCTTAAAATCTGTGGGTCACAAAACCAAACACAAAGACACAAATGTAGGAAAGGGGTGACAGGAAGTGCAGATGGTTGGGGGGGTGTCAGAAGCAGGAAATAGAAGGGAGGGTGGGGTATAAGGAAGAGTAGGGGGGAGTAATCAGAACGCATCACCCACGTATGAAATGAAAATGAAAATAATCTCTTAGAATTTTATCTTTCTTCACCATCAGATAAATTAAATTAGACAGTCAATGGATTCTCATAGACTCTGGTATTCTTGTCTCCATATTTCACAGCCAATTAAAATCAAGTTGGTTTGTTTAATGCATAACTGAGATGAATAAAAACAATTTTATGCCCTATGCTCACTACCATGTATCTTTCCCACAGAACTGTGGAGTGCCTACTCATTTCCCCTCCTTCTCTCACACTCAGTGGAAAGAAAGCACACGGCCCAGTTGTGACAGCCCCAGAACTGTTACAGGCTGGTATTTAGTGAAGTAGTAGGCCTCCCAACAGACGAGACTTCATGAAAGATGCTGTACTGTTGACAGTTTGCAGATGTTTTCTTCCTTCTCTTGGATCTTGAGCCTGTTTCCTTAACTTATTAGAGCAACACAGGGAGATAAAAGGTAACAATGGCAGGGAGGGACTAGCACCTCGTGCTTCATGGGCGTCGGCACAGTCAGTCCCTACCACTATTACCAAGTACTGACACGAGCACTTTCTTCAAAGAGGACACTGAGGCACCGAAAAGTTACGTAGCTTTCTTGAAGTTGCATGGTACCGTGTCCCCCCACCCATGTGATCCTGTGAAGAGAGGACGAGTTCCGCTGGTGTCCTCGATGAGTCTTTATAAAATAGATAGATTAATGGCTACGGTTGATAATTAAGACTTGAGCTAGCAAATGAGAAATCCTAGTCATTGGCCAGCAGCATTGCAGTTAATGTAAGACTCTGTGTGTTATTTTGGGGCCCTATCGTGGTGGCGGAACTCAGGCGCTGGCAGAAAGAGTTATCATTACAATGCTGTATGTGGCATCACATCCCCATGGTTTTAAAAACTGGAGTGTGAGCTTTGAGTGCTTTCACCATGAAGTAATGACAAATGACTGGAAACACAGTCACAGGGATTTGACTATTACCCAAGGATTATACGTACTGAGACATCACATGCTCACCCCATTAATATGGTCATTTTTTTTATCAGTTTAAATGGATATTTTTGAATGAAAGGAAGTCCATGTTCTGTGTCCCCACAACAGGTGGACTGACTCAGACTTTAACAAACATGCACGAGGTTGTCAGGCACACTTAGGTACAAATTCACAGTTCCCATACAAACAATCTGGGGCACAATGCTTAAAGTTAATTTGAGTCTCTCAGAATCTCACAAGGAAATGTGCGACAAAACATGAAGGAAGTAACAACCGAAAAGATACTATTCTGTGTACTGAAAGGCTCAAGTAGACACACGCTGTCATGACACACACCGTGAAGGCTCAAGTACATATATCTTCATGACACCATACCATGAAGGCACTGCATGGGTAATAAAAACACAGCAAATCCACATCCTTGCCTTCCAAACCACAGCAACCCTAGAGGAATCACACGAAGGGTTAGGAGAGGCCTGATGTCTGGCTCTGGCTCTCATGGTAGCCATGCAAATTCAATCTTCCTCTAAAGGGGTCCAAAAAAATTATGGAGGCATCAAAAGAGGAAATCTGTGTGAAAACACCTAAATCCCTCAAGGATTATACAAGCACAGATGGAGCAGAGGTCTAGGTAGGACCTCTGTGGAAGAGTTTGGGGATGTGGCCGACAAAAGCCCACAACGCTCTCAGTGCCAGAAATCATTGCTGTTCTGAAGGGAGTTCAGAAAACCAATGCTGAGAAAAATGCAAACAGGAAAGCATGCTCATGGGGTTTCCCAGGGTCATAAAGGCTTCTGGAAATCATGTCCTTCATGAAAGCCCAAGGAAGACTGGATTCCAAAATCGTTGCCTGTTGTTTTTGGTGGAAGAAATTTTGAGACAGAATGACATGCAGAGTGTAGCACGGCCATTGTTCACTGTATTTACTCAGATTTACAGGGAGAAAGGGAGGAAAGAATAGTGGAAAGACAAACAATTTGGACAAGAAAGGCGCTTGAATCTGCTTAAATCAAAGTACAGGAGCAAACAAGGCAATGGTAATTATAACTCCCTGTTAAAGAGATTTGCCCTGGGACAGTAAGAAAGGCGCCAGGAAGGCAGGCAAGCCCCCATTTGTCAAGAGTTCTAGAATGCAACAATGCAAATTCACTTAAAGGGAGTGGGTACCCAACTGAGGAAGGGTTTTCATAGATTTAGTCACAAAGGCACACAGAGGCCACTACAGATACAGCTGTGTTGCAAGGGGGACAAATGGCATCTCAAGGTAGCAGGAGATGAGGTAGCAGAACGGGACAGTGTCCATGTCATTCTGCTTTTGCAGACATGTAAGTGTTGTAAGTTAAAAAGCAGCATGTGAGAGAAAGATTTTTTTTTTTTTTTTTATTAGGGGAAAGGGAACAGGAACAGCAGAAGAGAATAGGAGGGGACAGAGAGACAGGCAAAGAAGGGGAGAGAGGGAGAGAGAGAGAGAGAGAGAGAGAGAGAGAGAGAGTAGGCAGGGCCCTTTTATAAGGGAATATAGTGACTACTACATGTCTGAGGATGTATCCTGTCAGAAACCTGAAGTACAGGCCAGTCCAGATGCCTGAATACTAATAAATGGGCGGGGGGAGGGGTCCTGGAGACCAGCTTGTAGTTACTCAAGGCAGTCAACATGTGCCATGGTCAGACACAGCTCCTGAGTGAGCTGCTCATGAAGCTGTAGAGGTAATTAAACTGCAGTCTAGAACCCAGGATGCTAGCGGTTCTAGGAACGTGAAATATCTGCCAAGGAGAGCTGGCACGGCAGAGAATCCATATGGGCTGCGCCTACAGCAGTGGACAGCGAAGCCCACACGATGCTATTGGGATCCTAGAAGCCAGACATGGAGCTGCAGATGTGATGTTTCCCCTGCTGGGTTTCAGTTTTGTTTTGGTACCACCATCTGTCCTTGGTATCACCATCCCTTTCTTTTCAATGGGAACTTTTATGTTTACATTTGACATCACAGGGCTCAGTTACCGGACTTCTTTGAGTTTTGGAGTACTTTAGGTCTTCCAGCAGGGGACTGTAGGGATTTTCAAAGTTGGAATTAATGTATTTTATAACAAGATGGCCATGAGTCTGTGGAAATGGTGCAGAATGGTGAATGTTTCGTCCCTGGTTCCTCAGAAGATTGTAGAGTGTTAACGACACAGGGCTGTGCTGAGCTTCACTGGAGGAGGACGGTCCCTGGGAGCAAAACACAGGGTTTATAGCTTGAAAACAGGGATGCCCCAGCCCTGTTAGAGGTAAGAGCTCTCTGGTAACTTGGCTGTTTTGCTTCCCTTATCTTCAGCTTGAGCCCCAATATCTGTCTCGTGTGTGTGTGTGTGTGTGTGTGTGTGTGTGTGTGTGTGTGAGAGAGAGAGCATATTGGTACAAGTGTGCCATATGCCAGGGTTCACATGTGGCAGTCAAAGGACAACTAGTGGGAACTGGTTCTCTTTCCACCACGCAGGTTCTCAGGACTGGATGGTCAGGCTTGAGGCAAGTGCCCTTGTTCACTGAGCCGTCTCCCCCTAAGAACAGACTTACTGAGTGAGGACTCTTATACCTTGTTGAAGTAACAGTCAATTTGCTGCATACAATGCCTTTCCTTTAAGCCTTCAGCATGCTCTTGAGATGGCTTTGTGTGGAATTAATGCAGCCACTCCCATGTCAGCATAGTGTGTTTCTCTCCAACCCCTTGAGTCTTTATGGTGGATTTCTTATAAACATTCAGTAGGGGTTTTTTTTAAGACTCTTCTTTTAATTGGTATATTTAGACCATTAACATTTAAAGTGATTATTGATTCTGTTGGATTAATATCTACCATGTTTATACCTCTGCCATCTGTTCTAGTTTTTGTTAATTTTCACACCCCTTTTGGGTCTTCTCTGACTTACTTGAGCATTCTACATGACTTCGTTTTATCTCCTCTCATCACAGCAATTATATTTCTCTCATATACTATTTAGAGACTGCCCTGGTGTTTTTAATTCGTTATTTTCTCAATTCATCTCAGTCCATCTTCAAATAACACTACACTACTATGTGGGTACTGCCAGTGCCTTCACCTTTTAATGAAGGGTTCCTATATCGTTCCTGTGGTCTATCAAAGTCCTGCTGTCACTCATTCAGAGCTTGTGGTTGTTCCCCTAAAGGCCTTATTTCAACACTTCCTGTGGGGCAGGATTTCTTGCACTGCCTCCTGTGGCTTTTGTTGTGGAGAAGGACAGCATCACTGTCACAGAGCTCCACTGATAAGCACTACTCTCCACTCACTGCCTACCTGGTTTCTGAAGGGCAGTCCACTGGGTCACTTCCTTTGTCTGTGGAGGTCATTTTCTTGGTCTTGGGTAGGTAATGTGTTTTCTTCCTCTGACTTTTT